TGCCGTCAGCGGCCTTTTCAGTGGAGCCCGATACGCTGATTCCTCCTCGGAATTGTCGAGGGAGGCCCACTCGATGAGCAGTTCCGCTTGGGTTTTGTGCGAGCTCCGCGCGTTATGATTTGAGTGGGGTTGCTTTCTAGACTGAGCTCGACGCCCTAATCAGGGGCTCGCTACAACTGAGTTGCGAGAAAGTCTTGACCTACGAAGTAGCTCAGATGCTCAGACAGCCCTGTGTGAGCCATCCGCGGGAATGAGATGGATGGTTTACTAATAATTTACTCAGTGATGGTCAGAAGGCGGCCAGAGAGACGGTCTAGTGCGGCCCGCGGATGTAAGTAATGCGACCCGCAGACAGAATCATCGAGGGAATTGAGATAGACGGACAGAAGGAATGAATGCAGGAGCTCTCATCCCATTGGGATGATCCACTCTCGCGGTCGCTAGCCTCTGCTCAAATCAGATAAGCACTCTCGCGCATTCCCGAGTCGGTGCATTTGAGGTAAGAGTTGAAAAATGCCCTCACTGGAAATGGTCGACCCTATTCAACCCTATGGAATCATAAATTTTCCGATCGCTCATATCAGGCTCAAGGCAAGGATTGTCCCCCGAGGGATAGTTCGCCACCAAATGACCACTTGCTGATTGACGGGCAAGGCCCATCATGATCTCCGCCTTAGCACCCTGGACGAAAATGAAGCGACGCTTGATGAGGGCAACTACGGAAGGAAATGCCTAATTCGGGCGGGCTCAGGATATTCTCGATTCTGACAAGATTGAAGGAACCTGCACGAAACCACTCAGAGAGTCGCATTTCGGCGCCCAGTTGCCACCGTCGCTTGGAGAGGGAACTCAGGAGTTGTGATTCCGCAAAAATATTGAAAATAGAATCGGGGTCGACAAGCCGAGCGGGAGCGCTCGAGGCCATCTCGCCGTCCACGAAATCGATCTGGCTTCGATCATCGGAGTAATCGACCCTAACGGCATTCCAGATTTCAAAAATCGTGAGCGTCGATACATCACATGTAACGGAAATGCGTTCGAATTATGTCGCACAGAAGAGCCGAGCAGGATCGAGAGCGTGTAAATTGCGAAAGCAATTCTCGGCACGATGATTGCATGGCATCAGCTCCGAGTATTGATGCGGTCGACAGCATCCCCGTTCTGAATGAAATCATTGATAGTAATCGGTGCTTGAGGGAATTGACTGCTGACGACGCGGTAGAGTGGAGATCCAATCTGATTACCTCTACACATGAGCACTTGGATATCAAATGTACTCGAATCAACTTGTACGAATTCAATGGTGCCGTCGGGCGTCGGCTCCAAGTCATGACTGCGGGATTCTTCTCCACGAGTTCCTCCCGAGCACTTTCGTTCCTTGAGGGGAGCTACGCTCGCCGTCTCGCCGTGGTTTGACCCTTGTTTCGAGCCTCTCCCGGTCGGATGCGATACGAACGAACCATCCTAGGGATCACGGGTATGATCTCGGAACAATCCACCTTAAAACACTCTCGCCTATCTCGAATTCCAGCATCGACATTTCGTTCGATAGCCCGCCGGGTGCTGATGAGTTTTCGCCTTCCAGTTCATCACTGGGGCTTCTGCTCTATCTGCAGCGATGGGGAATATTTCGACTCGTTTAACTTAAGTCGCAACCTTGATTTACGTGCACAGCAGTGCACCACATAGTTTCCCTACGATGAGGACAGCCTGCTTCCACCTCTGATATCCTCCATACATGACGGCCATCGGAATCACATCCTTCACAGAAACCTTCTCCGAAAGATAGAGCGACAATATTGTCGCTGAACGAGGGGCTCAGTTCGCCTCGATCGGGGTCGGAAGCGGGAATCTGAACGCTTCTCTCTCCTTTCGCGAGACTGGCGGCCCTCGGACGAAGGGCCCGTCGACGAGGCCTGAGAGGCTTCATGATAATAATTTTTTACGGAATATGCTCTGATTCTTTCGCGAAGCTTCGGAGCTCCAAGGATGAGAAGAGGAGAGAATTATTGACGAAATGAATACTCCTCCCTTTTTATGAAGGAATGGAGCGTTTCTGTGACTGAACGTGATGTGCTCAGTCGGATCAAGCAGCGAGCGGGGAGTCGACTGACTAGATTCCCCGCACTCGACGCAACCTGCGGGAGAAGCCTCCCCCGATTGTAGCGAAGAAGGCCAAAGAAGATAACTATCAGAACGAGGAGCGAGGAGGGCAAAAGATCGTGGAAGTGAGAGACAACGGAGACAAACCCCTTCTGGGTCAAGATGGTAGCTCGGCAGGGGTCAGCAGCTTCCAGAATCTGCGGAGACGGTGGGAGAATAAGGTTGCCCGAAGTTCAAGGTGAGACGGTCTCGCTCAAAGTCTCGCTTATCACCTCCGCTACCACCTGATCTGGAGCGCGGCCCGGACCTTCTGATCCAAAATCTATCGCTCTCTGCGCGCGGCCGTGAACCACGGACGTGAGCACCCGGAAAGCGATATGATAAAATGAGATAGCAATCGGCACAGAAGCTCGAAGACGCGCAATGAACAGCTGAAAATGAGGAAGAATCTGTCAGGAGGAGGCTCAAGTCATGTGATGACTGGTGAATAACCACAGCGGATGACGCAAGAGCGATTTGTCACGTGGACATTGGGACCGTTTTCGACGTGCAATGGCCTAAAAACACTCAGGGCTTATTCCGAAAAAGACTCCGTCCTCGAGAAGAAAACTGTTGCCCGTTTCTGCGAGTTGATATCACAGATCCCAGCAAAGCCATAGATGATCATCAGTTTCCCCCTGTGAGATTTCGGGTTTGGAGTGGAATAGCGCCGAAAGATTTCCTAAAGATCCTTGGACACGACCGTCGGGGGAATTTCGGATCTGGATTTCTTCCCCCCCCCCCCCGAAGTGATGCAAACAGCGCACTTATGGTATCCGAATAATTCAAGGTCTGACGGAATTGGGTCAAACCTCGCTACCACATCCCGTAAAACGGATGTTCGTTCTAGCCAATACAGTGAGCTCGGCTTATCAGTACCACCGCATAATTAGTCCCTCCGCTTGATCGGACCGGGATCAGCATACCCGAATGAGGTTCCTCTTGAAACCTTCCTGGTCAAAATCTTCCTGATTGGTCGAACAAACCCCTTTATTGGGACCCGGATTGCACAGCCTCGATGTGGTTTCATTTCATGTGGATCGCTGGGGTAGATTATCATCTGAAGTGTCGTCATCAGCATCTTAATCCCGCTGATAATAATTCACCTAATCTAGTAAGATCTGGATGAGGAGATACACATTCGAGCGCCCCCGTCGGCGTCAGAGACCATCGAGCGGATTCCCCTTAGGCGACTTTCTTCGGACAGAAGCATCAAATGCGTTGATGTACCCCGACTGATTCTGAATATACTCCTTTGCTCGACAGGAGACTCCGATCAGGTGCCATGAGTTCAAGAAAGCCAATCCCCGTGTCCAATCCCTGGATCCGTCCCGCACCAAGCAACATCGAACCGAGGGCGAGGCGACAGAGGACGATCGCTCCGAGGAAACAGACCGGTAGATCGTTATATAGCATCGGCGCTGGGGAAAGTGTACCTCTTCTCGATCAAGAATCATCAACCGTCGTCGCTGCAGAGTTGTGTCTCAAAATAGAGCTCATAGCCTCGGTCGGTTTTACAGCATTTTACGACGCTGGAAACGAAGGCTTACATCGCTTCGCATAAGGAGTGGGTGAATCACGTGTTCAATCTTCGGTCGCTGTACGCACTCAAGAATTATTGTACGATTGCAAGTACCTAAGAAGTCGTTCATCGCAGCGTTTCATAATCGAGCCCCGCTCAATGGCGGAATCAGTTTATTTCGCATCAAAAGTCTCTGCCCTTAAGAAAAGTCCAGCGTTCTACGGTGAAGGGAGAAGGGAGGTTTTTGCCTGGAGTTCCATTATCGGAGGAGCGCTCGAAACGAACGCGCGTCCGATTGTAAGAGACTCTCGGGAAGGGCCGCATCAAATGCTGCGAAGTTTCGGAAGGAGGACCATCTTAATCAAATTTCACTAAATTCGCGGATGCCTCTAAGGGGAGTGATGCACCTCTAATGATAGCGAGCGGGGTACCTGCGTCCCTCTGTCGCGAATTCGACCCTGGCGACGACGGGTCCCTCGCGAGGTTGATGGGAACGTTCCTCATGACCGAATTCGAAGAAACTACTCTCGGAAGGGCATGTTGCGAAGAATACATGATCAGGTCGCTGGGGAACTAAGACGTTCGTCGTCCGGAAACCTTAGACTCGGTCTCTGACCGACGATCGTAAATGATGAAACAATGGATATCTGCTGGGAGACGCGTTTCCAACTCCACTCCGTCATGTCTGCGCATTATCATTCGCATCATTATTTTTCTCGAGCACGATGCGCATGCGATAAGCTCAGGTCTGATCGTTATCTAGATTGCTTCCTAGATATCCTCTCGACAGAGCCGCTTGTCCTGATGACGTCGACATCAATCCTTGGACTCTAGTCCAAAACGATCGAGTGCGATCCCACTCAGCGATCGTAAACGACTTTCCTTGATGTATAAAAACCAGTAACACTGTCGACAGCCATCGCGTAATGATATAGTCGACGCCTTCGGGAGAAAGCTCTCACGGTAAGAAATATAGATACGGCTTCATCCGAGGAGTGATGAATATTTCAGATGCTCCCCGGTACCTTTACCTCGGGATAACATCGATCGATCCTGATCCAGAGAGAGCGGAGCGAACTCGGGCCGAGCTCCTCGGGAGCCCACCTAATTCGATTGCTCTCGTCGTAAATTCGGGAGAAGACCCGATGTTCCCGTAGAGCCCATGCTGGAGTGAGCTCTTTAAATGCGTCGCGTTATCTCGATATCGGACGGCGCCGCCATCGACTGAACAGGGTTTCGTTTCGTCGCCGTGTCACTTCTCTCTCTCTTGAAGACCATAAAGTTTGAACACAAGTCTCTAAAATAGTGTATGTGCTCGTCGAGACACTTCTCGCACACCGTCGATGAGCATATAGGCGGACGACGTTCCGCTCCATAGTCAGACTTCTCATAGACTACGAGACCACTCACCCGCCGACGGCGTGGGGTTGGACGTTTTTTCGCATATTTCCCTACAAGCCCGACCGTGTCTGATCTAGTTCGAAGGTGAGTCGAGACCGACCGCCCGCCCTGTCGGTCGCATGTCTGCATCGGAGACTTTCCTGTATCTGTTCTCCGAGACAAGGCGGTTAATGAGATCTGCTGATGCTGGTAGCCACACCGCGGAGTTTTGCGCATGATTCGAGGACTATCTGTGTTTTTTGGCGATAAGTGACGCATTCCCCAAGAGGAATATCGAGTTCGATCCGTGGGGTTCAAAGTACCATTCGGAGCTTGTGTATTCTCTGACGCGACGCTTAGCCTTGGCTGAGCCGAAACGGCGATCCGGCAGGCTTCACCGGCACCGGCGTCATTTCGATGCTAGATGCGAGAAGGCGATGCGAACGATGTTCCGCAATAATTGGCGCAATGGAGAGACATACACAGTGCAGAGATTAATCGCATTCTTGTTGATAATCATCCTTGATCCAATGCTCCCGGGGCCGGGCGAAGCGCCCTCCCGGGCTTTTCAATTCTCATCGATCTCCTCAATTTCCAGAGTCTTGTGGGTGTCGCTGCGGGTGGTCATTATGGCGCCACTAGCATCCGCCATGGCATTCAAGGCTGTACAGCGTCATAGCAATGAATTTGCCGATGCCGAGAATGCACCACAGGACAGCAAATACTTCAACTTCGAGATCAAGGCCTTGTCCAGTGAGTTGGCATCTTTCCTGGTGGGATTGAGCCGGATTGGGAAATCGCTCCGCTCTGTCTTCCTAACTGTGGACCTAATGGACAGCTGGAATCGACGCCGATTCCATTTCACGTGAATGCTGATTCTAGACCGATGATTACACCTTTCAGTGACTCGAACCGGGGAGTCGTTACACAAGTACAACGAGAAGCTGATGAACAGCATTTGGAACTTGTACAACATGAATGCACCCCATGCATTCCAGAAGAATGCAGAAATCGTTTCGCGCGCCTCGAGAGTCGCGACTCCGACCCTGGAGACCAGGTAACGACTAGCTATTTCGCAGCTGCTCCAAAAGACTCCGATAGCAATTCTTGAATGCTGACTCCAGGCAGCTGGCGAATTTGAAGTACCTACTTCTTTCTTCCGCTGGTCCGATTTCTCTTTCGATCCGAGTAATTCGACAGGTATCTACTCCTTCCGAGAACTCTCTTCCAAAGGGCTGTGGGGAGTTCAACTCTTTCCCGGCTGGGTATCATTGCTAACGTACAGATTTTTTCAAGCGCCTCGCTGGGATTCCTGGGTCACCACTGATGCGTTCCCCGCGCAGTGAATCGGTCGAGACGAAGCCAATAAACGATCAAAAGGCCTCCTGTTCTTGTTTTTCATCGTGGCATGGCCGGGCGGATTCCTGACTCCTGACTGACGAGCGGGCCGCGCAGAGGGAATCGAACGACATTCTGAAATTGGAGAATCCAGCGGAACCATATAGTCTTTGGAATCATGTGGAGGGCGGGAATATTTCAAAGCCCGCTACCATTTTCTTCGTCAGCTGCTTTTCACTCGTGGACTCCGGTGGCTGTGATGGGTGAAGAAGATTGCTTAACAGCTGGGCTGATCGAAAAACTCGATTGTTGGAAAATTGACGGTCAGGACTCGCCCAACACTTTGATGAAAGCATTCCCCCAAGGATCTCATGACAATGAGATGCTATTCAATTTCTGGTCGTCTCCCTCAATTCCGACGACTGGCAAAGCAAGTGGCGCCAACGAAAGTTCGGTCTTCCGAGAGCCGACCTCGAATTTACTATAGAGCCGTAAGCACTACATATCCATAAGGCATAGAGCCTTACGAGCATGTAGTGTCTCGGACCACGTGGGATCAGATGACAGCGGAGCTTTCTCCGCTCGTCTACTAGAAGACCGAAGGACTGATGTGGGAATATCGCTCCGTGATGGGATTATTGCTCCGAGAGCACACTGGAATCCCCTCCTCAGACAGCTCGTACCGAGATATCTAAAGCGATGGGTCCCGGAGCCTCTCGGATTCATGATAGAAACCAAATTATTTTGGGGACAAATCGCCGCGACAGTCGATTCCGTGTAATTGGATGGCTTCCCGAGCTGGATCAGAGAGCTCGGCAGAAGCAAGACGGTCTAGTTTGCGCAGAGCTTCCGCAGAGCATAAGCTCAGCGCATGCTATGGCGCCAAGTTGTTGGATTATTCCTCTTGTTCCCATCCCCCGCGTCTTCGACCGCAGACTCGGAGTAATCTCGAGAATTCGCTCATGCTGTTGCCGGCTCCGTGTACGTTCGGCCTCTAGGCAGCTCCTTTGAGGAAGACACAATGACCTCGCATAATTGAATTGGGTTTCGCCGCCAAAGAGGTCCCCAGTCAGAAGTTCTTCACCATCACAGTCTTACTCCTCTTAGAATCTAAAAACTCGGCGGCTTCCTCGGGGAAGAGTCATTCACCACATAGCCGCTCGCACTAATTTCTCTCTCGTCGATCCCCGAACGCGATACCCTTGATGTTCCTTCTCTCGAGATAAGGTTAGCATCATAAAAGAATGCGTCCCTTCAGCCTGAAAGACGGCATTTCAGATAAGAGCAGTGAATGACTGGCGCTCTCCGAGACTCGGCTAAAATCGCACTTGATGCTCTGAATAGGTTCGCCCCGTTGCCCCGGTGAGGACCGGGACGAGCAGGCTCAGTCAGTGAAAAGCTCTGAGAACGACCCCAGTGGGGACGACTCCGGCCTGTCGAGCTCTCTCGCCGCCTTGAGATCTGGAGTAGTTGATGGAGGTTGCGCTGGGAAGAGTGTGTTGTATTCATGTTCTCCGTCGGGGAGAACATTCAACATTCCTCCACGGGGAAGGGAAAGCATCCCGAAGACCGAGCCGTACTGAGAATTCGGCTTATCATCATTGAGCTCAGATTTGGTCCCACCTCCGGCTCGAGCTTGTCATAGCCCTAGAACACACAACGCGATTTGCGAAGCCGTCGAGAGAGAGTGTGGAACTCATTCTTCGAATGGATATTCGGTTCTACTGCGAGACAGGGGATTTCGTGCTGATGTCAGTTCAGCTAACAATCTGGGAACAATACTTCTCTTAGAGAGCATTATTAGGCCCCGAGGCGGCGCCGGCGCAGCGGGAGCAAATCAATAGGTCGGGTCCTCGAAGCTGTAGGGTATCATATATGGATGCAAGGGAACAGAACACTTCCCAGCCGTCAGAAGCGCCCCGGGGGCAAAATGCTGATTAGGCGAACGTAAGGTCTTGAATCGATCTTCTGTGCTGGATAGGGTCGCAGAGAATGGAGACGATTTCCTTTGATAGGGCAGAGTCGGGAGGATAATGTCTTGAATGATCCCCGATCGTCTATTCGAACAAGACAATCCCTTTTTGGTGATTGGATTCGCTTCGAGGTTACTTCTAATATATTATGATAATGATCCAATCACAAGCTCCGGCCGAAGAGACATCGATACATTTACACGAGCCGCCTGTGGCTTCGATCTAATCTGCGCCCCGCTAACTGGGCGCTTCGGAAGGGCTCTGGAGATTTCACACAATGCGTGGATGAGGTCTGTGCTCCTGATTCAGCCCAAAGAGAGGTTCGTTTGGTGCGCCTATCAGCGGAGAGTGCATTACATGGACATGAAGTTCCCATGCGATGAAGTGTCATATACTCAACCATCATACCCCGACACTCGAGAACAAATCTAGGAATGAATTTCGTCAGCTCAAATTACCCTCACTTAGTCATTGTAGCTCCCCAAAGTCGCCCCTGATGGGCGCCACCACAAAAAAAGCCCCCGAGAGGATCGAGAAACTGTGAAATATTGTCAATTACAGGCATTGAACTCGGGCTCGTTTCCGTGCGTCGCCACGGGTGGTGCTCGCCATTCTTGATTTATCCAATGGCGGTTTCCATTCTCTCAAGGTCGATGCCGCAGAAGAAATCTGGAGTGATGGCTGAATTAGCCGCGGAACCCCATACCCGAATTACGAATCGTAGGAGCCTTCCACGGTGCAGCCCGAGGTCGGCGAGGAGTAAGAAAGGATTCCGAAAATTCCCAAGAGGGAATCTTAAGCGGGCCATAATCGTTGGGAACGGATTCCTAATTAAATGTTGGAACGACTTGATCTCGAAAAGGCAACGATCCGGCTGAAGAGGGTTGAATACCGGATACAACTGTTGAACAAGACGCTAGCGGAAAGCAGGGGACAACACCGAGACGCTCAGAAAAAAAACCGAGGCGTCCCTGGATGACGGTGTATGTTTCGTGGGCTTCGTCTCGATTGTAAGGCTCAAGACAAATGGGACCATTACCTAGGATTCGCAATGTGACGCAAACGTTGTTTTGGAGCGAGTCGAGACCATCACATAGAGAAACCCACGTCGGGACCAACTACGATTTCTGGGCCTCGGACGCATATCCCGGCGTTCCAGATCCCTGAAAACGTTCTGAGGCAGCCAAGTCCCCGGAATCGAGTCGGAAGCAACGGAATAGCGTCAGGAAGGAAGAATTCGTCTAGTGACTCCTTGATTGCTTGCCGAAACAAGGACATCGCACTGTAACTCGAGGTCTGACTGAACGGGAATCCAGAATTATCCCGCTTTTCCATCTTGGACCATCCGCGACAGAGAGCCTTCCCCGACAATTCGATCGGTACGTGGGCAGTAAGGTCGGCGGACATTTCAACTCTTTCGGTGTAAACATCGAGCCACGAACAAACTCTTGGGAATGAACAGCATTGTCGACGTCCACAATGCACTTCAAAACATTTGTTCCCGTTTCCGTGAAGGAATTCCAAACCTTGGGAAAACCCCATTGTTGACAAAACAGCAGCTTCCATGAGCCACCTGAGTGGCTCCGGTCCATCGACTTAGACCCTGAGGCACCCGCAGATTTATTCCGAGAAAACCCGTTCCAACACGGCTGCTAAGTGCCTCGATGGGAGAGGGAGAAAAAACACGTAGCATTCCGGCCAATCCCGACAAGGTCATTTCCCGTCCACCGGAAGAGAACCTGACGAAATTTGACAGCGCTCATTTAGTTCCGAAATTCTCATCGTAGCCCCTCCTCATTCGGCGACGCGGACAAAAGAGACGCTGGGTCTACTCGCGCCAAGGGCGGTCAGTAATCAGCTTCTGAGACGGGCAGCGGAGATTGAGGAAAACACTTCTGACTGAAGCAAGCTCTCGATCGGCAGTAAGTTCCTCGGCTCGTTCTGATTCGATCAAGATTATTCAATACTGTCGCTCTACCCGGACAGGGTGGCCGACGCCCTGGAGCGTTTCGGGTGGAGCGTGATCAACAAGCTGGCGTATTCATTGGCATTCACTTCCACCACTTCGGGAGAGGCTCTGCGTGAGAGTTTGCTCCAGAGCTTCGTTGACGGATCTCGGGGACCATTGGTCTCCTTAACTCGTTTCTCAGTGAAATGATCGATGTTCCGGAGTTCACCTCCATGGTCGCCGCTCAGGCTCACTGAGCTTCCTCAGTGTTCAGATATTTCACGTTATCCTGCGTCGATCCGAGAGGTGAATCGACTATCCACTCTCGTCGAGGCACTTCTGGGTCTCACGCAGCTATCTGCTCAGTCGGCAGGAGCTCTTTGCCTGATCACTTAGTCTGTCATATCACGTAAAGGGCTCGCGGTTTGAATTCGCAAATCGATCCACTGAACCGAGTGGATCGAGCGCTGCTGCCCTCAGGTTTGAACGTCACGAGATCCAAAGGTCGGATATCCTGTTATGCTAGTCAACGGTCGGGTTGACGAGGCGCTAATTCACACCATCATCGGAACACATCAGGTCGACACTTCGTTGGGGGGGTCACAGTTTTTATCCCTCCGCAGAAGCTGACACGTCAAGTCTGATTATTCATTTCTGAGCTAAACATCTTCTCCGGGTAGTTCGCCGATGGAGGAAATTGAATTTTTATGGAACCCCAAGGACGCAGGGATGTCTTCTCGCAGAGGAGGCTCTCCTCTCGGCAGCATCAAAGGTATTCGAAGTCTTTATACCTTGGCGTGTCTGCCTGCACTTCTTGGGAGCCGGCACCAAACATGCTGCCTTATAGTCCTGACATGGGAGTTGACAAAACAGGTCATGCTCGTTCTCTCCTCATGGAAGGAATCCGCGAAAAATGTCCCGGAATCACCGCTCATCCCGCTGAAAAGAGGCAACAGATGGCGAGGAAATGAAATATGGCGAGATCATTCCCAGAACGGAACATTGTTCAGGAGAGCCCCAGCAGAATAGACGGCCGTGATCGGAACCGGAGCAATTTTTTCTGCTCTGATGAGC